GGCTCTCCCCTTACTCAGCATTTTTTCCTGTCATCTAACAAGATGTCTAGCACTAGTGGGCGTTTATTCATTGGTTATTGGATGAATGAAGCATGGAGTGTGGGGAAATCAACAAGCAGCTGGCTGTCACTAGAGCAAAAACCATGACATGAGGAGAGGCTGGAATGAAGGGCAGCAGTCTTCCGTGCATGCATCACAGGGTCTTGGAGTTGTTCTGTAGTACTCAGGAGTACAATTTTAACCAGATATTAATCTAGAAGTTTTGGCTAAGACAAAATATGAAGGGTGGTACCTAACAAAGACACAACACTTTTCAAAGTAGGTAGCCTAAAAGAGTAGAAGATTAAAGGAGGATTTCTGAAAAGGAGTTCTTTGGAAATGTCTATGCTGAGAGGATCCTTTTCAAAGAGGAAGGAATGAGGGTGCTATCTCCTAATGCCAAGTCAAGAGAAAAGAACTTTTATTAGGTTCATGATAAGCTTAATAGTGTTCCCTGAGGTTTAGGGCACACAGCGGGCTGGTGCCTGAGTCATAACTGACAAATCTAATCAGAGAGCAGGGCCTGAGGCAGCCTGTGGCAGGAAAATCCTGGGCTACAGTTTAGGAAGAAGCAGCATATCATCCCCTAGAGTTTGTTGTGCAAAGGGTGTACAGATGTGTCACATGAACCTAATGTGGGTTATGGGGGGAGAGAAAAAGAAAGAGCGAAAGAGAAGTTGCTAGCAATGGGGAGGCCTTAAGTCTTGTCCAGGAGGGCTGCCTCAGAGGAAATAGACTGAAGGAAAAGGAAACTGGAAGGGGACCACTGAATGCCTCGGGGCTACAGAGAAAGCTCAAGCAAACAGCTGGAGTAGAAATAGTCACAATTTTAAGTAAATTGTAGGTAAGAGGTACCTGACAATGAGGTCTTTGAAGAATACATGAAAGCCCCTTCATGAGGAACCTTTGCCATGACCAGGAAGCACTGACAGTTGATCATACACACCAGACAATTGAGCAGTTTCATACTCCCCTCAGTTCCAACCCAGGTAGGGTAAGAAACTTCTGTTTTAAGACTGGGAGGAGGAGAGAGACCCAACACACCCCAGTCCATGCTCAGACTTAAAAATCAGATTTTCCAATGTAAGTCCAGCTTACTTCTCACTCCACAATACTTCCTTTCTACTAGAAAACTAAATTCTAAGACCTGCAATTTTAGCATCTATGGAACAAATTCCTACATTTGAATTCTGGAAGAAATACAAAAATATTCTTCACACTAGAACACCAAAACACTGTGAAAGCCACAAAATTGGCCATTATCTGTAGTATTTTCTTACCCAAAGTTTTAATTCAGTCCACTGGAATTTTTTTTTTTT